CACTACAAGTGTCATAGGCGAACCCTCACTAGTGTCGAAAGAGAACGAGCCACGCCGTACCGGGCACTTGGAGCGCTAGGGGTAAGCTTGCCACTACAAGTGCCATAGGTGAACCCTAGTTTTTAAGACAGATCCTATCCTTATCACCATCAGATCCCTCTGGTTACTATTCTTTGAATTCTTGCGGAGGTTATTGGAACCCAGAGCATCTCCAGTTTCCGTCCTCAGTAGGCTTACGGCCACCATCCGCTCCACATACCTCTATCATCAACTGGATGTCTAGGTATTCTATTCGCATCCCCAAGAGTAACTCCAGTGTCCGTCCCGTCCTCAGCGGGTTCACGGCCACCATCCGCTCCCCCAACCTCTATCATCAACAAGAGCTACTTGTCATGTTCTATACACCTGTTGAAGAACATTGTCCATCATTTTGTGTCCGATCACTGTCAGCTGGTGGGGTCTAATGTAATGGATTCACAATGAGTAGGTTTCTTGCTGCGCAGCAAAAATTCGGCTTTGGAGAAAGCGGCTCGGAGGTATTGCCAACTTCTTGAAGAAGGCGGATTCCCCCTGTGCGCCAAACTTTTGCCGAAATGTCAGCGTGCTAGACATTTTGTTCCAGTCGCCATCTTTTGAAGAAGAAAGCGTAATACTATAGCTCACTGGTGTAGCTAGCACGGTTCATCCAATGTCTTCTGAATGTTGCATTAATTTTGCGGTTCTTGTATTCGCCGGTGGTTTAAACGGGGGAGCCTCTAGCATTCTATTGAATCAGTCAGAGCTTGAACACCTAGTAAATCAAATCTGTTTATCAACAGCTCATGGGTGTACAGCTCAGGCAGAAGCCAGGCACACTTTTCTTCTTTTTTTCTTTGATCTGTGTTCTTGTTTTTTTTCTGTTTTATTCTAGTAGACTTTTTTTCAAAAAATTGAAAGGTTGAATCCAATATATATTTCAGCTTGAAGAAAACACCTGACGCCGATGCCGCGATCAAATATAAAAAACAATCACTCGATGCTGAAAACACAGTCCACACACACAAGTCCAGTGTTGACACGCAAGGTGGGAAATATTTTTGGATTTGAGGGATGGACAGATGTTGACTACAGGGATGCATCTGACCCCTTTTACGGTCGAATTCCGCCCAGACAGGTTCAATACAAGTATGTTTTGAAAGCCAACACAAAGGCACTCCGTTAGTTCAGAGCATTGTTCGTGACACTATGCTGTTTGTCAACTTTGTTTGCAGTGACAACATGGACGGCAGGACAATGACGGCATGATAGTAGTAGAAGTCATCATGAATTTTGGCTAAAATGAAGGACACATTCTGCATCTAATTGTTTCCTCTCCCTCTGTTCCATACCCCATAGTTAGCGCCCAAACCTTTTTAAATTTTCCCTTTTCGCATCTTTCACCGGAGGGCAGGAAGTGGGGAAAAAGGTGGAGGTGGAAGGAACTAGCCTCAACTAGGTATCATGATGATGATACCTTCAGAAGCCTAACACACTAGTCTTGAAAGGCATTGTCACACTGGAAACTTTAAGTTGAAGAGGGATCAAATATGCCCGACGAGGAAGCAGGTGAGTTGTGACGGAGTGAGATGCATTGAGCCTGAGATGGTTATGATGGTTATCCAGCATTACTTCAGTGTGGAATGTGGGATGGTTGGATTTTAAATTACTAATTTAAAAGCTAGCTTTCCAGCCCGGACGCCCGGGCGACCCCCCCGGGCAGGCACCCGGGCACCTTCAGCGCCACCCCCCAAAAACCTCAAAAAAAAAAAAATGGCACCGCAGGCCTACGGCCCAAAGGGGGAAAAAAAATTAGGCGGCGGCCGCGAATTTTTTCAGGGCCTGGTAGGCCCTGTTTCATGGCTTCTTTTTTTTTTGTGCCTTGGCCGTCGGTCTGCGTCGATCCTCTTATTCTTAGTCTCTTCAGTTCTTTTTCTTCTTTTCGTTTCTTCTTCTACTTTGTCTTGCTCTTCTTCTTGTTGCTCCTCCATCAGTCTTCCCTACCTCCACATAGTCGCCCTCTCCTTCCTCCACCATCTCCTCCCTCCACATCAGTCTCCCTCTCGCCCCCATCCTCCTCCACCAGTAAACCTCCCTCCACATAGTCTCCCTCTCTCCTTCCTCCGCCATAGCTCCCTCTCTCGTCCTCCACATCAGGCTCCTTTCCTCTGCCATAGTCTCCCTCCTCCCTTCTCCTCCTCCATCAGTCTCCCTCCCTCCTCCTCCTCCGCCAGAGCCTCCCTCCC